TGAAAACGGCTTTTGTCGCTTTAGGAGGAGAGGGTTGTATAGCTGACTATTTGCAAAACAAGATTCTTTTGTTTGTGACACCCTGAGTCATACAATACTATATGATACTCCTGGGTCTTGATGATGGACTGAATGGAGGCTTCAGATGGCAGGTGGTTTGCATTGTGTAACGCCACCAGTCAGTGCCTGAAGAGGTTTCTCATTTAGGAACTCGACAATAATTTTAGTCTGTGTCAGACCTAGTCTTGTTTTGACAAGTAACCCCACTCCATCTGTTGAAGTAAGCTGTGCTGCCTGTTGTGGATCTCTTAGGGGTTAGCTATGAAAATCCCCTTTTCTCTTTTGGCAAGATACCCTGGTGGGTTTTTTTTTCAAAAGCCTCCTTCAATCTCATTTCTTACATGCTAAAACACTAAAAAAGGAAAACCAATCAAAAGAGGACAAGGCTAGGAAAGTTTCACAAAACCATTGGTTTGACTGTAATCTTTAGTCACAGAACAAACAGTACATTAAGAGAGTTGTGTCTAAAGTTGATATTGTCCTGGTGTTACTGCTCACCCATTTATACTGACACAACAACTGTAGTTGTAGCGAGTTTACACTTCCCCTAAAGTGTCAAAAATGTACCAAAGCAGTGCACTTACTTTATGTGCTGATGATCAAGTCAACACAATACTCTTGTAAATTACACTTTCTTCTGGTGTCACTTCCTACTGCAGCAGGGTAGCCAGTAGGCACTTGTTGCTTACTGATAATGCACACGGTTCTGTATGTTGATGATGTATTCTGTCGCTGCTCTGTACTCTTTGTTCATCAATGAAGAAACACTACACTGCTTTCATACAGTTTTCTCTTTGACAGAACCTCAAGCCACTTAACAATGAATATGTTATGTCCCGAGGGTTGACTGGAGGAATAAAATAATATTTTAGGCAGTTTGAGCACAAATATTCTCCAACAGTTTAACCTCTGCGCTGGCCTCTCTCACTGTTCTGTCATCTCAACACAAAAAAAAAACTCCTGTTTCACATTATGTCATTAACAAAATGTACAGCACAGACCACAGACTGATGTAACGAAAGTGAGATGGGGAACACACAGGCATTTCCTTCCCCTCTCCCTGTGTGAGCCTGCACAGTGGTGGCTCTTGCTGTGTTAAAAGAACAGTAGTGCTGTTGTAAAAAGCCATCATTAAAAACAGCTGCATGGAAAAGGGGATCCTCTCCTCTCCTGTTTCAAAAACCACGAATGACCGCAAAAGTACTGCAGACGATGTAAACAGTAGGTTTCTAACTGTGAAATGTGTTGGCAAGGATTTTCAGCTAAATTCGGTAAAATAAAGTCAGTTAAGCTGCCTAAAGAAAAGAAAAAAGATGAATCGAGGCTTGTGGAAACACAGGGCAATTTCCCATTTCATTTTACCCTAAACTACACCACAGTGTGGGATGTTTCATTCTCTTGAGTTCAGACCTAGCTGCACATCTGTCTCTGATCCAGCACTCCTCAAGACTGCACTGAACATTATTTTGGCAAAGATGTGACACAGTAAAACAAGCAACCGTAGCTTTGATGATGCCATTTGTTCCATTTTAAACTCACCAACTCCCTTTTTCTCCATTATAGCAGCTGACAGTGCAGTTCTTTGTATGTGACCTGGATAAAACTTGCAGAATGTTACACATGATCCCTGATGCAAGAATAATGTACTTCCCCGTGCCTGTCTGTCACTGTTTCTTCCAGTAAAGACCTAAACTAAATATGCTAAGCAGACTGTAAGTGCTTTGACAAGTAGCCTAATGAATCAACACCTGCCTACATACAATTGAAACATCGAAACATCCGAACATTTCCACAACAGCACACCATTTACAGCATGTCTAGCCCTAGTTAGAGTACCCAAGTAAATATACTACTAAATATTGCCTTGTTGTGATAAAAATTGAGTTAATGCAGTATTCACTCCCTCTGTGCAGTAGTTCCCTTAACAAGGCGTACAGTCAATTTAAGAATCCATATTAGTATTGTTGGTTGGGGATGACTAAAACATCGCAAACAACACTGCTTCCCTTCTCAAAACCAGAAAAGAGAGTCTACATTATGAAGCTTGAACTGGAAAATAATCTGAGTGTTCTGAGGAGAATTAACTAACCTGGCTTGTAAAGTAAATCATCATTAGGATGAGCATCATGTGGCAGCACCATCAGCAAACTAAATATACACTCAATTCCCAGTTTATTAGGTGCACCTAGTTCAATCTAATGCAGTCTAATCAAACAACCCTGCAGTAATCTGACCTATATGAAGATTATCATGTTCGGTTTTGTTGAATATGATTTAGAGAAATCACCTTTTCTGCACTTTGTTAACAAGCTCTAATAATAGCAAAACAATTCAACAGCATCAAACCAGCATCCACTAAATGCTTTGGATTTGGACAGCGAGCGATAAGTGAGCCAGGCTGATGTATTGGCCAACATCAGCTTATCACAGTATTATCAGTATTGGCATTTACTGTATGTTAAGAATTTGCAGTACACACATGCCATGCATGCCTGAGGTAAGTGTGTCTATTATGAAGTCTGTCATACAGAGAGAACTGACTGAAGGTATTTATTTTAACCATAAAATGTCCTACTTTGTGCAGATCTAGGTCACAATTCTTTTATTACCACATTTAAGGGATCCTTATCAATTTTCTTTCCTTATATGTTATTTACGTTTATGTCATTCACGTTAAAGAAATACACAAAAAACCCCAAATTACAATACTGACTTCTTAAACAAAAATCAGTCATTAAAAAGCCTCATTAAGGTAACATTTGTTGATCGATATTAGCTTCAAGTAGCTGATAAACTAGCAAATGAGAATAAATATAAACCTTTAGTGAAATATCACACCTGGCAGAGAAGCACATTAATACTTCACATCTTAGTGACAGGGTCAGTTCAGTGTATGAATCTCTGCTTTCTGCTTCATTCGTATTGGTTCATTTAACTGTTAACGGTGGGAGTAACACTGTTGGAGGATGTAACACACACCAGGTCTGCAGGTCTAACACACACCAGCTGATTTATAGTTAGCGTTGACTGTGCGAGGCTAAGCTAAGATGGTTTGTAGGGATTCACGACACAACAACACACACACACAGGACACACAACAGGAGAGGAGAGAGAGAGAGAGAGAGAGAGAGAGAGAACTCACTCTCACTGGTGTCTTCTGGTGTCCTGTGGCTGCTTGAGTTGTCCAAAACCAAACACCGGGTAATTCGCCTGTCGGTCTGTCGGTCCTTGCAGTCGCTAGTTAACGTAGCCAAGTTAGCCACGGACCTGACGGCTGACGTTAGCTGTCAACAAAAGTACGTTTGCGTCGCTACTTCCCTCCGTTGACTGCCATTCCGTCGTCTTCGCATCTTCTTACCGAACTATTTCCACGTCCCAAGCTCTGTGTTGTTTACCTGACATGACGCTCTGGGTTTTAGCTTACTTGGAAAAAACGCAACTGTTAACTGACACCCTGACTCACCCTGGGCTGTCTCCTGACTGTACGATGATGAGGAGGAGGAGGAGG